AACCTGGAAGGATGTGAGCGTGAAGCCGGTTTCTCCGTCAACACGAGACAAAACAGCAGCTTGGACATGAAAGACGTGTCTTCGATGAAGACGGTGGACGTGTTCTGGATAGAGCCATACAGGGCGTGTCTGCAGAACCTCTCAGAGGGGGTTCTGGGTAGAACCTTTCTCCGATGGCTGTAGGTATGGACCTTTGTGTTGGGCCTAGTTCTCCTTTTCATCTGTAGGAGAGCAGCTTCTCGTTGTACTGATCACGACGATACAAACTTCCAGGCTTTGTAATTAGAAGAAATGCATAATTTAGCACCGAGCTAAAAAAAGACTCAAGGATGAACTGAATACTGAAGGTTACAGTGACCTCACGTCCGATCTTGAGCTACTTTCTTCAGATTTATAATAGAAAAGACTTTTGTACTATTTGTCATTTGCGGTCGTAACCGTATCGCTCTTTCTGCCGCTTTCAAACCTCCATCAAATTCACCTGTGACCATATTTGGACTGAGTAGGAGAGACATATACATCTCTGGTAGCAACCTGTCAATCACTGTAAGCCCCGCCCTAAACCATACAACGCCTGTCTTATGTATTTGAATCTAAATAGGAGAACGTTTACTAAATGAACATCGTAATGTGTTGAAGAAGATGAAGCCGACTGAGACCATAAACTCGTGTTTACGACGTTTACTGAGGGAATAAATCAAGAGTTTTCTCATAGACGTCTATGGGACCAGAGGACACGTTGTTTCTTCCAGATACCTGACCGGATGAAGTCCTTGTGGATGTAAACTGAGACATGGCTGGTTGGCGGACGTGGTAATTGTAGTTCACACAGCAGCATGATTTTAATCATACTTCAGAATAAAACCCTATACTGAAAATCTGAAAATCACAGTGTTCAAAAGAAGGTTCCTGCATCATCCCGTTCAGATGTGACTCCCTGCTGCCTGGAGCCGAATGGATTAAAAGCTAACAGGCGTCATTTTAACACACACACACACACACACATATGCTACCTTCACATCCACACACTCGTTCTATAGCATGTCCCCCCCCCCCCTACTATCACACACACACATACAGAGGGGGTCTCTCCTCCTGCAGAAGTCTATTATTAGCTGTTCAACCCAGAGACAAACTAATGACACGTTGGGATGAATCACCGGAGCTGCTGCCCTCCGACTGTCATTACTCTCGACAGTAGACGGCCGCGTAGGGCGCTAGCCGCACAACACACACACAACACACACACCGCCGGTCGGCTTCGTGATGCAGCGAAAGTTCTCCTCCTCCGAGGACCACGTGTCCTGCAGCCCCCCCCCCCCGAATAAAGAAGCTCAGAATCTGACATCATGAACTCATGGTTTCATTTCAAAGCAGCGCTTTCACTGTTGCGGAGGCAAGTTAACCCCGTCACCAATGTTTGTGATTCCAAACCTCAAAAACTGACCCGCTTGTTGCTGTAAATGAGTCACTGCAGCGTTGCTGCATTTTAATAAGACAAACAGAGACATTAAAAACTCTTGGTAATTTATTTATGTTCCCTGAAACGGGCCAGAAGAAGCCGGCGTGCCGCTCCGCTGCCGTCTGAAAAGCACCGTTATCAAGCTGCCACGAAGGAGGCAGCTTTCAGACCGACTACAAAAACACCATTATTACGGCCGGGACGTCACCATGGCGACCGAGGGACGGGATGTACAGACGTGTCAGCGTGAGTGACGGGGCGTGAGTGATGCGCTGGATCCCGTAGGGACACAAGGGTCCATATCGTCACATATCGACATGTTACGGATGTTGTGCACCTCGCCGTCTGATTCCAACGCACAAAGCCCACCTGTACGAGACCGGGGGGGGGGGGGCGCAGGCTCAGCACATAACTCTCTACAGACGACCCTCTTTCAGGCAGCCATATTGTCATCATGAATCCAAATCAATTTGAACTAAAGAAACCATTGTTTTGGGATCAATAACTACCGTATCAAGCCTTTGCTAAGTCCCGCCCCTCATAGCAGACTGGCTAATGACAGCGTAGCATCTGACAGCTGCCCGTCTCATGGTGCGTTACCCTCCTGAACTCGCGTTTCTAAAGTGTTTCCAGGTGAACTTTAGCAGAGTACGTTCTCTTCAACAGGTTTTCACTGATTAATCATTTTTAAATGATCCTTTAAAAAACACTTTGCGTGCTGTGTGTCTCCTTCCATCTGAAAAACCACGACTTACCGCCAGTAATTACAGAATTAAAAGACAGCGCCGTCCCCGCGGTAACCTCGACCCGACCGCTGGACTGCGGGGCGGAAGGGGCGGGGCATAGCGAGGGGAAAAGAGAGCCAAGTCGATAGTCGACTTTCCTCACATCCGCGCGTCTGCAGGGTTTCATCGCTGCGCGTTACGTAAATGTCAAACAGAGCCACAGACTCGTGATCTACGTGTCGCCTGAACGCAGGCATCTCGTGGGCGGGTTTGGGGCCGTTTTGGAATATTCACAAAGGTTCCTGGGGCGACACGCTCAGACAAACGGTGTAATTCTGTTTACACGAAGCAGCAAAAAGCGGAGCGGCCCCCTTTTTGACCTTGTGAGCGGCTGGAAGGTCGCGGCGGCATCTCTTAGGATGGACGCGCAAAGTGAATGAGACGCCTCCTTGGCACAGGGACACTTCCCCCAGGCAGTAAGCTACGGTCATCTTGGAGGGTTATACACCACCTGAATTCTCCACCCAATAGTGACATGGCGCTGCCTTGTTGAGCACCGAGAGGCCCAGAGAGTTCAAAGATAAACTATTGAAAAATGGATATTTATTGTAATTTCCACAGATGAAAATTAAGTAAAAAATTAAGTAAAAGCCGCAACGGCTCAGGGATAAAAATCCTCCATCGCACGGAAAGGTCCTACATAGTATTTAGCATCAGCTGTAACATACTTGATCTCTGACGCACTTATTCCAGGGTGAACTTGAGATTATACTGTTCAAGTAAAGCACAAGTACCCCAATTTGGCAAATAGCTGCCCTGTTTGGTTTAGAGCAACCTGACCGGATGCCGTGGCCGCGTTCAGCTTTCTGGAGAGTTCTGGTCGCAGTGGGTCGGTGTCTTATAACCTGCAGTCTGTGTGGTGACCAGCAGGGGGCGACTCCTCTGCTCCCATAGACGTCTATGAGGAAATGACTCTACTTCTCTGTAGTGACCAGCAGGGGGCGACTCCTCCTGCTCCCATAGACGTCTATGAGGAAAACACTGTACTTCTCTCTTGATTATTCCCCCAGTAACATTGTTAAACTGAGTTTATGTCCCAGCCTCTAGTTTCAAGTCTTCTTCAACACATCATGAAGTTCGTTTAGTGAATTGTGGTCCATTTAGAGTCAAACAGAGCATGAAGCAGCGGATGCTTTAAGGCGGGGCTACATGCTGATTGACAGGTTTCTACCAGAGATGTCTCTGTGTCACTCCTGCGTATTATAAATATAGTAACTTTGCAAAGTCAGTCGCTAAAAAAGCACCGTGGCGACGACTGTATTCAGACGGCAAAATGGCCACAGTCTGTGGTTTGGAGCGGAAGGTGCGAAGGTAAACTCCAGCCGCATTGGGAGACGCAGGCTGTTCCTGTTTCAATCTGCACACATTCCCAGTTTGTTTCTTCTGTTCCCATTAAACGTCTCTCCCACTTGTCGGGTCGGTTTCGGCGTTTCGCTCAAACCAAAATAACATCCGTGCGTAAAGAGGCCGAGAGGCCGTTTTAAACACGCGTCTCCGGCGCCTCACTGGACACGGCGTTTCCATTTTCACTGCACGCACCCAAACGCGCGTCCATACAAAACCTAAAAATACCATTTCCTCCGGTGCCATCGGCGGTAAACAGGAATGCGAGCATGCTGTCAGGCCCGAACGGTGAGGGGGAGGGGAAGCTGTGCGAGAGCGTCGAATGCTCAATGACCTTATGTATATTCATATTTCAGCAGCCAATCAAACCTGGACCATCTGAAGCGAAGACGACACCAAGATGCAGTGGATTATTACAGATTTCTGCTGCTGGGGGAGCGTGTGTGGGGGGGCCTGACAGAAGCGTGTGCTCTCCATCCCTGCTGGAGCTCACTGTGACCTTTTGCATACGAGCACGCATGAGCTCGGCTTCGACGTGGTCGAACGCGGCGCGGTGAGAAGACGCCCAAACAAATATAAATGGCATATTTGTATATTCGTGGGGAGCAGCAGTCATCGCAGCCGCTTGGGGCCCCAGACGAGTTCTCCACCTATCCTGGATTTGAGAGAACCAGGGCCACTCCCCCCACCCCCCCCCCCCCCCCTCCCCCCTCCCCTCTCTCTCCCCCTCTGTGAAGTCACCACCAGATTCTGAAGAGATTAAAATAACTCATTAAAATCCCGCATATTAAAGCATCTTAAATGTTAAAAGGAAATGTCATTAGCTGGGATGTGTGAGTGGAAGCGCGGATGGCTCAGTGTGTGTGTGTGTGTGTGTGTGTGTGTGTGTGTGTGTGTGTGTGTGTGTGTTCATTTTAAAGAGCCTCTCTAACGATGGAGGCTATTAACGTTGCCGGTGCGGGTTATTTTTAGCGCGCATGAAGATGCGCTGCGCGGCGATGGCGTCCTCCTCCCTCCTACGCCATCGTGACGTCGCGCTGTTACGCACAAGAACAGGGGTTCACCTTTTGTGCCCCCCCCCCTCCCCCCCCTCTCCACCGCTGGCGTACATCGAATAAAGCACATTCTAACACTTATTGATTATAATACAGGATGGCGCCACGCAACCCGGGTCGGGTTTAAACGGGTCCCTTTATCTTTAAGTCCTCGCCATGTCTCCGTGGAGACACTTGTTTAAACTTGGTGCCGGACACACCCAGAGGAGCCCGGTTTATGGGACGCGGGACCCGGACGGGGGGGTCAACACGCGGGGCCGCCGCGTGAGCCGTACTCCCTTTATCTCACATACATGACGCACGGCGAACACGACATTGAGGAAAAGCCAAAGAAGAACCAAGAGGACACTTAACTATTTGTAAAGGTGCTGGAGACACAGGTCCAGGCATTCCCCCTCCACTTCGTCGTCGCCCACCTGGTCCGACAAGGGGCGCATCGGCGGCGGGTCGCTCTCCTGCAGGGGCATCCTCATCTCCCGGAGGAAGAGCTCCAGGAACCGTCGGAAGGTTTTCTCCTCTGCTATAGAGCCGGCCATCCTCTCTCATTCCTGGGCGGACGGAGAGACTGGAGTCGGCGCTCTGGACCGAACTGTGGTCGGGACCGTCTGGTGCACGAGCGCTCTACCTGAATGCAGGTGGAGCGTACCGGGGGGGGCCGAGGGAGGGTGGGGGGGACGGACGGGAGGGGGCACCTGAGTGGATGCGGGGACCGTCTCTCCGGTGTGTCACTGCTGGACTGGGCTCGCTGTCGGCAGCCGGACCGACACCCCCATTCAGAGATGGGCGGGAGCGCGCGTCGCGTTGTTCGGGGGGGGGATTTCGGACGGATCGTCAGACCGCAGTGGGTGACGTCAGAGGGAACGCGGGGGTTTACGCGCAGGTCGTGAACGCGCACGTAACGCTCACCCTTGACGTCTAAGATGTGTTGTTTTTTATCTTTGAGGCACGACGGAGGCTTGTCGATGACGTCAAACACGAAATGCATTTTTTTTAAATGTCACATTCACGAAAATAGGTTCCCAATTTATATATATATTGTCGTGTGTGTCAAATATAGTATCTATACTGATCCAATTGTATTTCTTTCCATTTAAATTGTCACACATATATTATACAGTGTTTACTATATTTCAATAATATCATTGAATACCTCTTGAATTCAGGATGTTTTAGGAAATAATCTTTCTACATACCAAAAGGAAGTATGCTTCTGGTTGCTTCATTTCAGCGGGGAGATATATATAGTAACTGATCATGTGACCCGTCTCACAGGCTTTTAGCTGCAGGATTGAAGGGCTTGAATAACTGATGGAGAGCACGATGGTTTGAAACGTCTCATAAGTCAAACGCAGAAGTGGAATTTGGTATTTTGAAGTTTCCCCATTTGTCTGATGACCCATGTCTGGAAAATATTCTGATGTCAGAGCCTGTTTCTTCCCCTTGAAGACATATTTGTCTATTTCAGTCGTTGACACATTTAAAGTTCCCCCCCGGTTTAAAATGTAAATGTATTAACGTTTCACCTTCAATGTGCAGAATGATGTTTGTGCTGCAAAACAGGAACAACCGACCATTTAATTGTGTGAGAAGAAGTTGTTGGACAGGAATTTTGCTATTCAATAAACTTTATTGATGTATAAAAACGTTAAGTCAATGTTTCATGTGTCAGTCACTAAAATGTTTGGATTTGCTACGTTTCTTGGTTTTATAATGTGAATCCCTTTGTGGACGTATTCATGATTGTTGTGTAATTGAAGCTGTTCGTTGTCATGCAGAAACTCTTTAACATTCATTAAAAAAAATAATTACCTACAATTATTACAATATATTGAAACGAAGATATTTTATGCAGTACTTTCATTATCCTGTACTATTAAAAACCTTTCCTTAATCCTGCACTTCCCTGGTTTTCATCCTCTGTTCCACGACAACAGCGGAACAGAAAAAAACAAACCCGCTTCTACTCGGACCTCTTCGGCGCGCGGACCCGGAAATGTGTGCGTCGTTGTTTTCATTCCCCGATCCCACCGCCGGATCTCCAACAATGAAGGACTCGAACGCGGCTCTCCCGGTGAGCATGGGCACCCTGCTGCGGGCGGACCTCCCGGAGGACGCCGCGCACCGGGACGACGGGCTGTGCGTCGTGGGCGTGTTGGGCAAAAGCGGCGCGCGGCCCGGCCCGCAGAAGGAGACCCTCCTCAACGACCTGGCGGACAAACACGTCTTCTCCCTGTTCGGCGGCCCGCGCGACGGCGGCACGCCGGACAGCCACATCCGGGCCTTCCACCTGCGGGAGAGCCGCGTGCTGTACCTGTTGCTCTCCTCCGTGGGCGACGGCCGCCAGCTGCTGCGCGCCTGCGAGTCCCTGAGCGCCGGCACGGGCCACTCGGACGCGCACGACGTGTGGACGCGCCTGGACCGGCAGCACTGCCTCCACCTGCTCTACGTGTTCTCCGTGTGCCACGTGCTGCTGCTGGTGCACCCCAACCAGACGTTCGACGTGACGCACGACCGGCTCTTCCGCGCCCTGGACGCGCTGCGGCAGAAGGTGCTGCCGCTGATGCGCGCGGCCGTCAAGGACTGCGCGGTGTCCAAAGAGTGGAAGCTCAACTGCCGGCCCTGCCCCCCCCGGCTGCTCTTCGTCTTCCAGATGAGCGGCTCCCTGAAGGTGCGCGTGGGCGCGACGCCCGAAACTCACGGGCACGCAGTGCGTCATGAAAGCACTCGTGTAGAAATACCACAGTCTAGAAGTTCTGTTCATTCAGTGCACACGTGCATCAGTAAAGTACTGATTGTGCAGGAATACTCTTTATTATTATTATTATTATTATATATGCACTTTAGTACCAGATGGTAATCATCGCTGCATTAAAGGGACCGTCCAGATGTTTTGTGTAGTCACAGAGTAACGGTTCTAGTTCTAGAATGTCTTAATTTAACCCTACTTCCTGTTTGTTGCCCCCGAAGGTCTCCGCCCACGGCTCCGAGTCCGGAGGGAACCCCGACAAGCCCAAGAAGCACTCTCCCCGTCGCCGGCTGCAGCACGCGCTGGAGGACCAGATCTACCGCATCTTCCGAAAAAGCCGGGTGTTGACCAACCAGAGCAGCAACTGCCTGTTCACCGTGCCGGCCAACCAGGCCTTCGTGTACGTGATCCCGGCGGACGACGAGGACCCGGTGGGCGCCCTGCTGGGCCAGCTGCGCTCCGTCTGCACCCTGTGCGAGCCGGACCCCGGCCCCGTGGTGTCGGGCCCGAGGCGCTACCAGCAGGCGCGGCGGTCGACCCGGCTGCCCGGCGGTGGCGTCGGGGCGGTCGGAGAGCCGGCCGGCGTGTTGATGGGCGGCGGCGGCGGCGGCCAGCTGGTGGACTGCAGCTTGAGGGAGTTCCTCTGGCAGCACGTGGAGCTGGTGCTCACCAAGAAAGGCTTCGACGACAGCGTCGGCCGCAACCCGCAGCCGTCCCACTTTGAGCTGCCGACCTACTCCAAGTGGGTCCAGGTGGCCTCCAGGCTGCACCAGGTCCTGGTGGGCGACCCGGACGAGGACGTGGCGGACCTGGCCCTGAAGGTGCAGGGCCAGCTGAAGGTGCTGGAGGGGTTCTTGGACGCCGACACAAAGTTCTCCGAGAACCGTTGCCAGAAGGCCCTGCCGCTGGCCCACAGCGCCTACCAGTCCAACCTGCCCCACAACTACACCACCACGGTGCACAAGAACCAGCTGGCGCAGGCCCTGCGGGTGTACAGCCAGCACGCCCGCGGCGTGGCCTTCCAGCGCTACGCCCTGCAGCTCCACGAGGACTGCTACAAGTTCTGGAGCAACGGCCACCAGCTGTGCGAGGAGCGCAGCCTGACCGACCAGCACTGCGTCCACAAGTTCCACCTGCTGCCTCAGCCGGGGGAGAAGACGGACGTGGACCGCAACCCGCCCGTCCTCAACCACAACAGCAGGGGGCGCTCCACCAGCGCCTGCAACTGTGGCCGCAAACAGGCGCCCCGCGAGGATCCGTTTGACGTCCAGGCGGCAAATTATGACTTTTACCAGGTCTGAATAAGGCTTGTCAGCGCTCGTTCTGTGGTCATCTGACATGAAAGAAAAGAGCTTGTTACTTTTATTAATGCAGGACCTGTTTGTCACATTTACCTTTAACGGTCTGGATTGAACGCTGACGATGTTTCTTCTTCCCGACCAGCTGCTGGAGGAGAAATGCTGCGGGAAGCTGGAGAGGATCGACTTTCCCGTCTTCCAGCCCAGCACCCCCGACCCGGCGCCGGCCTGCCCCCCGGCTCCGCGACCCCCGAGCGAGGCCTCGGCGTCCAGCGAGCCGCAGCAGGCGAAGGAGCCCAGCGCCGCGCAGAGCCACACGCCCGCCGACACCAGCCTGAGCCTGGACCTCAGCCTGGGCCAGTCCAGCGACAGCCTGGGGCCCTACGGGGACGCGGAAAGGGCCGAGGTCCAACCCAAGAGGCCGAGCCTGGTGGACCGCCAGCCCTCCACCGTGGAGTACCTCCCGGGCATGATGCACTCCGGCTGCCCCAAGGGCCTCCTCCCCAAGTTCTCCAGCTGGTCGCTGGTCAAACTGGGCCCGGCCAAGTCCTACAACTGCCACACCGGGCTGGAGCAGCCGGGCTTCCTGCCCGGCTCCTCCTTCCTGCTGCCGTGGGACCTGGTGATCCGCTCCCGCTCGGAGGAGGACGCGGGGCTGACGGAGCCCCTGGACGGCGGCGCCTCCTCGTGGCCGGCGCCCAACAAGACGCTGGTGGGGAAGCGGGGGAGCACCGGGGGGCTGGGCCGCAGCCGGCGGCGGGACGACGTGGCTCGCGTCTTCGTGGGGTTCGAGTACGAGGACGCCAGGGGGAGGCGCTTCGTCAGCTGCGGGCCGGATAAGATCGTGAAGGTGCTGGGGCCCGGGGGCGCCAAGGACCCCGCCACCCGCGTGTTGAACACCGACATGCCGCTGTACATCCCGTCTCCTTCGCAGGGCCGCGGGCTGAAGTCTCACTTCGCGCAGCTGACCCGCCTCTTCGTCGTGGTGCCGGACGCTCCGCTGGAGGTCACCCTCAACCCACAGGTGAGTCCGCTTCGCTTGCGCCGCATTTGACCCGTTCAGCTGGGCTGTATGAGAGACGGGTCTTTGACTGTTCCCAGGTGCAGCCCGGCCCCCCTCCCTGCCCGCTGTTCCACCCGGAGCAGACGGATCTGGTTCTGCCGCCCGACGGATTTTGGGTTCTCCGGTTCCCGTATTCCTACGCGACGGACCGCGGCCCGTGTCTCCCTCCCAAAGAGAACCAGCCCCTCAACAACTACAAGGTGCTGCGAGCCATGCTGAGGGCCGCGACCGCCAACCCCCCCCCGCCGTGAGCTCCGGCCGCCGCCGCGGTTTCATTATTTGACACGGAGGTTTTTGATGGACAGTCAGTGAAAAGCCTCATCGGACCGGATTTTCTTTTTTTTCTTTTTTGAATCTTTTGGTCTGTATTCGTTTCTAAAACAAACTGCAAAATATGCGTTTTTCAGATTGAAGCAGCTTGTTGTTAACGTACTTTAGCAGATCAGCGTCAAACTAATGTTCTGCACCACGTAAAGACATTTAATAATCAATAACATCGATCAAGTTGCATGCAGGTATAAACACACAATGGTTCTGTTAGTGTGGACCAACAAAACCCGAATGAATATGAGGTTACAAGGTACCACCATCGTACATTAATAACTTTTATTTATATTACATCTGCATCTCATTTTAGTGCACTGTAAATATAAAGAAATGTTTGCTGCTCATGAATTTGAGGTAGGGGAACTTCCCGTAAAGGGTATTGTGTATATTATGGTATCACAATAATACACAGATAGTACTACTCACATCCACTGTGAGCGTTACATGCTGACGTCTTTCTGTAAATAAAAACACGTTTTGTCAGCTTGTTTGATCTTCATCATGTTAAATTGTGCGTTTTACATTTTGTCCACTAGATGGACTCCTTCAACTTGGTGGAAAAAAACAACACAAACCACTGAAGACATCGTCTTTTAATGGATTATTTCTTCCCACATCACTGATTTAAAATCCTTAATGTTTTATGATGATTTGGTTAATGTTTATCTTCAGTTTCACCCTCAAAGTATCTTAAACAGTCTGTGATTTACGGTGTAATTTAGTTTCATGACTCGCGTTTCTTCTTAGTGGTTCTTCGATGAGTTAAACGATCAATACACACACACACACACACACACCTTTAGGAATGTGGGTAATAAGAACAAGGTTAATAACAAAGCTGAGACAGATACAAAGTCCTAAAGTTAAACAACCTGTGGTCAACATTTAAAGAGACAATACAAGCCTCATTGTTATGGTTAAAAACCGTGTTCACGCCTCATTGTTTGCACGCCATAAGCTTCCATTCTTCCTCTCTCCTGGCGGGACGGTGCTGAGGAGGAGGAGGAGGAGGCGACGGGCCGTTGGCATCGTGTGATTCTTTTTTAAATGAGTTTTATTTAACCTGCAGTGGCTCATTTGTTATATGTAAAGAAGTCCACGACGTCCTGTGAGCGAGTCGACCCGGGCATGTTTGTGTCAATCAACAACAAGCCCACGGATCAAAACAAACCCTGAAGGCCTTCAGGGTTTCTGTCCCCGCCTGTGGACAGGTGGGAAGGAGGAGGAGGAGGAAGAGGTGGAGGAGCCAACCAACACGGCGGGTTTATGGCTTTTCATAATACGACTGTGCCAAAGTTCAGCGCTCGCCAGTCGAGGGACAATGGAAGGAAAGAAGACACTGAACTAGATGTTCTTCTGCAGAAACTCACCTGAGGGACGTCAGGGGACACTCACCTGAGAGACGTGAGTGCAACATGCGGATTTATGATCAATGATTACTGACAAGCTCTCGGTTCAATAGTTCACTCTCAGTTAACTTTCAACTCTTTCGTCTTTGATCTTTGGCTTTATTTTGACACTTTATGTTCAGCCGTTTGATTTAGTGGAATATTCCAGTGATTAGAGCATTATTTGGTGTTTGCTGTCTTGATGACAAGAAATTAATTAGATTTCCTTATTTTACTCAATGCAGTTTAGAGGTACTTTGGTATTTCAAAATTTTGAGGATTTTAAAAAACAGGAATTATTTTGTACTTTTACTCTTTATTCAGACAGGTGTTCACATTGAGTACAATTGTGACCCAAAACATTATTTTTCACATTTTCACGTAATACATCAGTTTAATACTAGTACTCGGTACTAATGCCACTCTGTATAAATACTCCTGTGTACGGATATCTGTAAAGTAATTAGTAAGGAAATAAATGGAGTAAAACATAAACAGTAAGTAAAAAATAGTAGTAACCCTGATCCTTAAATTAATCTACTTTCAGATATCAAATATTACGATTAATGTCTTTTGTCCTTTCCGTCAGCCCTTCTATCGGCAACGCCACACTCCAGAGGTCACTCCAGAGGTCGTCGTCGGTTCTGATCGGCCTCTGAGGGCAACATGGGGACCAGGAAGGCCGAGGTGCAGCGCCGGATCGTGTCCAAAGACGGCCACAACAACGTGCGCATTGACAACGTGGAGGGCATGGTGAAGCTCTACCTGCACGACATCTGGACCACCGTGGTGGACATGAAGTGGCGCTACAAGCTCACCCTCTTCGCCTCCACCTTCGTCATGACCTGGTTCATCTTCGGGGTCATCTTCTACTTCATCGGCATGGGCAACGGGGACTTCGAGCCCGGCCTGAACGCCAACCACACGGCCTGCGTGGTCAACGTGGAGACCCTCACCGGGGCCTTCCTCTTCTCCCTGGAGTCGCAGACCACCATCGGCTACGGCTTCCGCTACATCTCGGAGGAGTGCCCGCTGGCCATCTTCACCCTGGTGGCCCAGCTCGTCATCACGGGCCTGGTCGAGATCTTTGTCACCGGCGCATTCCTGGCCAAGCTGGCCCGCCCTAAGAAACGTGCGGAGACCATCAAGTTCAGCAAGTCGGCGGTGGTCTGCCGGCACCGGGGCAAGCTGTGCCTGATGGTGAGGGTGGCCAACATGCGCAAGAGCCTCCTGATCCAGTGCCAGCTGACGGCGAAGCTCCTCCACTCCAACGTGACGGAGGAAGGCGAGAAGACCCAGATCCACCAGAGCTCCGTGGACTTCTTCATGGACTCCAGCGGGGAGTGCCCCTTCCTCATCCTCCCGCTGACCTTCTACCACGTGCTGGACGAGCACAGCCCGCTGGCCGGGCTCACCGCCGAGAACCTGCACACCCGCGACTTCGAGCTGCTGGTGACCCTCAACGCCACCATGGAGTCCACGGCCGCCACGTGCCAGAGCCGCACCTCCTACGTGCCCCAGGAGGTGCTCTGGGGCTACGAGTTCAGGCCGGTGCTCTTCAGCACCACGGGGGGGCGCTACGTGGCCGATTTCAACTTCTTCGAAAAGGTGCAGGCCAGCAACGACGCGGCCTTCCTCAGCAACAACGCCGAGAAGCTCAAGCTGGAGGAGGACTTTAAGAAAGAATAGCGGGGGGTTGGGCGGGGGGGGGTCTGCGTGGTTGGGTTAGTTACACCCGATAGTCACCCACCTGATTTTGGGAATTGGGAGTTTTGTACGATTTTTGTACGAACAGTAGATTCTCGCGTTTACCTGAAACATCTCCCTTTTTCTACCAAATACAATAATAATAACAATAATGATAATAATGATAAACTAAATAAAGGTAAGCCATTAAAAAAGTTAATTGGAGACAATACAAGTGATAAGAGATGTGAGAAAGTAGTAGTAGTATATATATATATATATATATAATATACATCGGTTCATATAAGACTTATATATATATATAATGTATATTTTATATATATATATATATATATATATATATATATATATAATATACAGTGACAGATGGAATCGGGCTGCACTGTGTGATTCGTGTGAACAAACTTTCGCTTGTGTGTTTTGAGGGACGATGGATGGTGACGGCGTAATGACACGTTGCGTCGTACTAAACGGGGTTTTTTTGGTAAATAAAGATTTCTTCATAAACTAAAAGTTCAAATGAAATGTCCTTTTTTCGTTGCTGCTGAAATCGGTTTATTCCGAGCACCGTTCAGGCGTATTTGTACTTCTTTAACACTTCTTCCTCACAGTTCATCTCGGGTCACCAGCGACACAGAATCAGAAATAACTTAGAACGGATTGATGAAGGAATGAAGCCGCTTTAGAGACCAAACAGGTTCTCTCAGCTTTTGTTGTAGCAACACACCCTGTGTGCGTGTGTGTGTGCGTGTGTGTGTGTGTGTGTGTGTGTGTGGTGACTGTATCTGGTAAAAACAACCTTTCAAACCAAAACACAGCTGATCTTTTACTGTCAGAGACAAACAGACGAGTTTCTCAGCTGTAAAATGCACGTAACGTGTTGTGTATTGATATTGTGTTCCATAATGTAAACTGTTAACCTGCACTGAATGCTGAGTATTCTTTTGTCCATTAAAGGACACACACTATCTCCTACACTACTAGTTGTATTAGTATAGTTGCTATACAACATTGCACTGTAGTTTCAGTCCTGATGTGAAAGCATCTTTTGTTGTATTTCTTAGTTGTTCCAGTTGAAAGTATTATCGGTGAAATGTGAGCTCAGTCACGGGGTTTGTTACACAGCAGCCTTTTGCTGCATGTTGCTGCCACGTTGTGGTCGAGGTGAGAAAGCGTGAAGTGTGTTTGCTCATTTTAAACACATGGTGCAATGAAGTGTCCCATAAAACGTCTTTTAACTTCCCAAAAGCCGGTTTGAACGTCATCCTTTCCACCGCAGCGTGTCAGTACAGTAGCTTCCTTTAAGCTAAACCACAGTAAGAAGTACAATATTCTGTACACAATCTTTTATGAACACCTTTAAATATGTTTTTTTTATATAAACATATTTCTGATGTTATTCATTTGGATACTTTATCTTTTTATTCTTAGCCCAGCTAGCTGAGCTAACGAGAAGTGGCACCTGTTAGCTAACTAACGTTAGCTACAACGACAGCGCTTGACAGTAAAAACTCTCCTCATGACTCAAAAAACATAAAATGCAACCAGAGATCATAATCTTCTGCTTATTTAATGTAATTTGTGATAACGATAAAGACATAAACATATGACGTATGTTACCTCAGGAGCATTATACATTTCTGGGTGAAAGAAACATTTCCGGTCGTTTTAAATACAATTTTAAATTAGTTAAGCCACAGACTTTTGCCTAAAAGCGATGTTGCACAGAATATACAGACTTATATTTCTGAAGTGTTTTATTGTGCGAGTACAAGTTCAAAAAAGAAAAAAGAAGACACAAGACACTAACAAGTGTTTAAAACTGTGTCTGCTGGTTCCTTAGAATTACAAGACAAATAATACAAGTTTAATGATATCAGTATGTGTAGAAAATGCTCAAAAAAAGATTCCACAATTTTAATATGTTGATTTGTATAAAAAAAAGAAAAAAGGGACTGCAGGTGACATTTTATTTTTCAAGGTTGTCACAAAGATTCAGTTTTGGGAATCGGTTCAAAACAGGACTGTTGCCCTAAAATGTTAAAGGAGAAAATGAAGTTCCGGCCTGATGTGTTTCTTCCTTTATCTTAACATTTACGTAGATGATTCCATCTTCAGTGACACACTCGCCCACAGCTGCTGGTGTCACTCTGTTATGTTTCATCAAACAGAGGCCGACGGCGGCGATCAGGAGCAGACAAAGACTGAGCGCCACAACCATCGTTACCGCGAGCAACGGACGAACGGGATCTACTGAGAAACAACAATGAGATTAGAAAGAGTTTACAATAAGATTCAGTGATTCAAACTTTAATTTGGTGCCATGTTTTTTTACGAGGCGGAATATAACGATATTTTTGCTTTATTGCGAAACACTTGTTTTAAATCTTCACACATTTAGGTCTCTTGTTGTCTACTTAGCTTATGAAATTCTGCAAATATTTAATCTTTGAGAGTAAAAAATTACTATTTTACTTAATTTTGTCTCTCTATATGTGCAAAACTGAAAAACAAAACTATTAAAATGACTTTCTTTAAATTAAAAGCAAATAGAATATATACATCTTCGTTTCAACCTACCTTTTATTTCGTTTATTTCGAGATGCACGGTGACTTTCTTCACAGAAACCCCATCAGATGCGAACTCCTGCAGCAGGTAATCTCCAGAGTGGTTCCTTCCGGCTCTGCCGAGTGACACCGTTCCGTTGGCCAAGAGTTCAGGATCAGTCACGTATTCTTTATTTGGACTCACTATCTTATTTTTTAATATTTTAAAAATAATAACGTTTTTGTCCTTAATCAGCCTAATATCTGTATTTGATGTGTTTCCCAGATGAAAAATGAGTCGCTGTCCCGTCACTCCGAAGCACCGAGCTCCTGGTTCAGAAAAACTGCATTCAATGGAGCCTTTAGAAAAACAGTGAAATGCAGTAAATAACAGGTAAGAACAATTATAATTGGTTTATTTTTACATGTATGATATTTTGGCTACAATTGAATAAATATGTTATTCATTAGCAATTAAATGTTGTGTATACTCTGTAAAGAGTTACATGCACTCATATACTTTAACACTCAAATTCACCTTTTGCCAGAGATGTTGTTGCCAGAGCCGCAAAGATCCCGACGATTGCAATCATTTTTTATCTTTTTCTGTTAAAAGAATAAAATGTGACATTTTAAAATGTGACATTTTATTCTTTTATGTATTGACACATAAATAAATGTTAAAATGAAAAACAAAATATGAATATAAGTTACAGACCGTTTCAGAGAATGGATAAGTATTTATCTTCTATTGTTTCCTCGCTGCCTTGAGAAGTTCCCTCTGACTGAAGGACACTTTGTGCTTATTGATGTGAGAGACAGTTGACCACTCGCTTTTTGTTTTGTCAACCACAACTCACTGAGCATTTTATAGCATATTATAATTAGTGCCGCAGAAAAAAATACTTATTTTTTCTAGAAACCACATTCAACGACCTTTTGCTCAGAGTGACTATTTCCAGAGAGGCCTTCATGCAGAGGTCATAAAAGGAAATGCTGTGCATAGTTAAACGTCTAACGACCTGTTTAGCAAAGCTCTGCTTGAGAATAGTTCACTCTTTACAACTACAACGGTCTAATTTTTTTAGTTGATCAAAGAATCACTCTGAACTGGAGTAGCCTACACGAAGGAAGATATTTAAATACAGATTTCATAAGTGTGCAGTGGCATAACTACATCTCTGACGTTTATAACAAACCAAGCCGTTTAAAAATTGAGCAAGTTATTATTATTTAAAGTACATGTACCACTAACAACACAATGTTATAGGTGAGCGAGCTGCCTGTACCAAGATGGCCGCCGCGCACGGACGCTCTACACATCTAGCCTTTTAGATACATCTATGGCGCTTCCCTTTAACCTCTCACAAGACAGAAAAACACTTCTCGCGAGATCTCCTAGTGGAAGTCCTGAGATGTGTATGAAACCCAGGATCCCGGTCGCGCTGCACCCTGTTAAAAAAACTATCAGGACCAAGATATTTTATATCAGACGCAATGAACACACAAGGCGTACTACTTGGGCTCGGAAATACCGAAGATCATTTTAGACCACTGAACATCTTCTCTAAGCTACACGGGACCCTGGAGCCCCTGAAGACGTCTCCGCTCGTCCCCGTGTGCTATAAGGTGTGGAGTGCGTGCTCGTGCCCGTGGTGGATTCACCTCACGTGACCCAGCGGCTCGCCGGAGGTCGGTGGGTCCCAATGGAGAAACGTTCAACATACTTAAAAGGCTCAGAGCGAACTGTGTTTTATTTATTTTATTTACTTCGGAACAGGGACACAAAAATAATAAAATGTCCAACAAAACCGGAGACAAAAGTGTTGAGAACTTCGGGAAAACGTAGTCCGGAGATCTTAATGTACAGCTTCTCCACGTCCAGCATGAACCACCCCAAAAACCAACAGCTGTGTTCTCCGGTGGAACTGTCCCTTTGATTAAGGAAAGCCCCAAACAAAGCACGGAGAAGGAAAGATGCCTCACGGCCTCTGAGGCCATAAATCACCCCAACAAGTGTCCACCTGCACTTGGGCCTCACATCTCCTGCAGGACTGCTGTCCCTTCTGTGCGTTACATTACACCAACATGCACATGCAGCGTTTTACAGTTTTATATGACATGTACATATAAAAATAAGAAAAACAAAGAACACCTGCACATATAAAGGCAGGGGCGTAACCCTGGTTTAGACATGGGGGGGTCCAAATGAATACCCTACCCCGTAATTTTTTTGTTGTTAAGTTCATTGCCTACAATTCTATATTTATAAATGAAAATTTGCACATTGCGAACATAGTTTCAAGGATTACATTGACCATATGAATTCACATCTAAAGCAATAGTGTAATTATGCCCCCTGCTGGTGGAGTTTTCTGCTCTTTTTAACCTTCCTCCAGTCAACTCACGTTACTTTATTTGCTCTCAACTGAATGACGAAAAAGTGATGTAACCATGACAACGCAGAGCGACGCAAGTTGGTTTCAAACGAAATCACACAAGTGTACAAATTGGGAGGGCGGTTCACACACTTTCTTTTTTCTCAACAAACTGAAATGAATTGAAAATAAATAAGACATAAACAAGAGACCAATCCATAGACAGGGTTCATAAAAGGAGAACGTATATTTTACATATTTTCTGCTGTATATTGGGGGGGACACGACCCCCACAAGGAATGCGTGGTTACGTCCTTGTAGGTGTGACGTTGTACCTCTTATAATACAGGTTAAGCATAAATCTACAGAGCATATTTTATATGTACTCCATAATATGGCTGATTATCTTATCAAAAAGGATTTGGTCCTTAAAAGATTAAAACATAAGCACTTTGGATTTATGCCCCCCCCCTCCTCCTAAACCCTTAATAGTTCTTTAAAAAGTCATAGAACAACATTATCAGTTTTGCATATCATCCTGTCAACACATCAAACCAAGACAGAGACACACAGCGGCGATCAGGAGCAGACAAACACCGGGCGCCACAACCGTGGTAACCCCGGGCAACGGATCTGCAACAAACAGAGAAGCAACAATGAGATTAGAAAGGTTACGATAAGCGTTCACTGATTCAATGATTCTAATTTTGATTTGGTGGTTTTTTGTGCCCAGTTTCAGAGGCGGAAAACCGTCGGAACGATAATTTGCTTTATTGAGAAACACTCGTTTTAAATCTGCAGACATTTAGTTTCTAAGCTTCTATAATTTTAAACTTATTGTTTATTTTACTTGTTTGTTTTCTACTGAGGTCTCTTGTTGTCTACTTAGCTCATGAAATCCTGCAAATATTTCATCGTTGAGAGTAAAAAATAACTATTCTACTTTACAATGATTTTTTTTTCTCTATGTACGAAACTAAAAAACAAAACTATGAATAAAAACGACTTTCCTTAAAGTAAAAGCAAATAGAATATGTACATCTTTGTTCCAACCTACCTTTTATTTCTTTTATTTGGAGATGCACGGTGACTTTCTTCACACAAACGCCATCAGATGCGAACTCCTCCAGCAGGTAATCTCCAGAGTGGCTCCTTCCGGCTCTGCCGAGTGACACCGTTCCGTTGGCCAAGAGTTCAGGATCAGTCACGTATTCTTTATTTGGACTCACTATCTTATTTTTTGATATTTTAAAAATAATAACGTTGTTGTCCTTAATCAGCCTAATATTTGATGTGACATTTGATGTGTTTCCCAGATGAAAAATGAGCCGCTGTCCCGTCACTCCGAAGCACCGAGCTCCTGGTTCAGAAAAACTGCATTCAATGGAGCCTTTAGAAAAACAGTGGAATGCAGTAAATAACAGGTGAGAACAATTATAATTGGATTATTTTTACATTTATGATATTTTGGCTACAATTGAATAAATGTGTTATTCATTAGCAATTAAATGTTGTGTATACTCTGTAAAGAGTTACATGCACTCATATACTTTAACACTCAAATTCACCTTTTGCCAGAGATGTTGTTGCCAGAGCCGCAAAGATCCCGACGATTGCGATCATTTTTCTGTTATAACGCATAAAATGACACATTTTATTCTTTCATGTACTGAAACAAATGTTGAAGTAAAGAACGAAAGTTACAGACCGTTTCAGAAAACGGATGAAAGTATTTATCTTCTATCGTTTCCTCGCTGCCTTGAGAAGTTCCCTCTGACTGAAGGACACTTTGTGCTTATTGATGTGAGAGACAGTTGACCACTCGCTAAACATGTTGAGAAACCACATTCAACAGCCTTCGGCGCCGAGTGACTATTTCCAGAGAGGCTTTCATGCAGAGGTCATTTAAGGAAACGCTGTGCAGTGTTGAACGTGTAAGGACCTGTTCAGCAAAGCTCCGCTTTACAACCTCCTCATTTGTTAGTTCAACCCCGATCATCTCCCTGAACATCACATCTCCAAAAACAAGCATAACATCTTCCACCAGTTTTAAATTAATGTGGTTCCTACATTTGATGGATCCTTAACACAGGTATTCTGTGGCGTGCTTACCTTCTCATTCTGATAAAAAGCCCACATGAAGCCTCTTAGATGTGAGAATCAGAAGGAATTATTTACAACAGGACAAGCAAACAAACAAATTAAGAGTATGTCAAAATACGTCTGTTACCGAAGTGTCAAGTGTCGAGGCGACGTGCGGCTGCCGCGTCCCTTCAGAGACGGGAAGTGGTCCGTTCTGCAGCCACAGCTTTTACTGACCGACATCTCTGCATCGCCGGATGTTCCCACGGGCATTTGTGTGACGCGCTGTGCACCCCGACAGTTAAAAACCCACAAACAGGAAAGACGTCTCTGCTGCACGTTTGAGGCTGACTTCTTAGTTTGCCTTCGACATTACAACGAAGCTTCACATGCAAAACTCGTGTTTCAAGGTGTTTGAGCTTCATTTTTAAATAGCGGGTAAGGATTTCCGAGGCAGCAACAACTCGTGTCAGAGTGAGACGTGAAGATGAGAAGGATGGAAAAGGCTGTGAGGTGTAGATTAACAGATGAGACTTCAGGCTTCCTGAATTAGCTCATCGTTATTCTAAAACAGAAGAGATACATATTAAAGTTTTCTACATTACATTACATTACATCATTTAGCTGACGCTTTTATCCAAAGCGACGTACAATAAGTGCGTTCAACCATAGGGTACAAACTCAGAAGAACAAGAAACAAGAAAGTGCAATTTCCTCAAATAAGCCAATTTACAATTTGCTATAGATGAGTGACGTTACAAGTACATTTAAGTGCTACAATTTGTTAGTCTTTAGTCGAGGTAGAGTCTGAAGAGGTGTGTCTTTAGTTTGCGGCGGAAGATGTGAAGGCTCTCTGCGGTCCTGATGTCTTCAGAGAGCTCGTTCCACCATTTCGGCGCAAGGACAGCGAAGAGTCGAGACCTAGTCGAGTGTTTTGCTCTCAGTGAGGGAGGGACGAGTAGTTTTGCAGATGCAGAGCGGAGAGTGCGGGTTGGGATGTCGGGTTTGACCAGGTCCTGGATGTAAGCTGGACCCGATCCATTCACAGCATGGTACGTGAGCACCAATGTTTTGAACTGGATGCGGGCGGCCACCGGTAGCCAGTGAAGAGAGCGGAGGAGTGGAGTAGTGTGGGAGAATTTCGGAAGGTTGAAGACCAGTCGAGCTGCTGCATTCTGAATGAGCTGCAGAGGTTGAATGGCGGTGGCAGGGAGACCTGCCAGGAGGGAGTTGCAGTAGTCCAGGCGGGAGATGACAAGAGCCTGAATCAGTACCTGCGCTGCCTTCCGAGTGAGAAGGGGACGTATTCTCCTGATGTTGTAGAGCGAGTATCTAAAGGATCGCGTTGTCGCGGTGATGTTGGGAGTCAGGGAGAGTTGGCTGTCGAGTGTGACGCCGAGGTTCTTAGCGGTCGAGGTGGGCGTTAGTACGGAGTTCCCAAAGTTGACTGTCAGGTCCTGGGTAAGCGAATCTCGAAGAGAAGTAGTTCAGTCTTGTCGGGGTTGATTTTCAGATGGTGGGCGGACATCCACTGAGAGATGTCAGTTAGACAGGCAGAGATCCGAGCCGCCACCTGGGTGTCCGAGTGAGGGAAGGAGAGAATTAGTTGGGTGTCATCAGCATAGCTGTGGTAAGAGAAGCCATGCGAGCGAATGACAGCGCCAAGAGAGTTTGTGTAAAGCGAAAACAGGAGGGGACCCAGGACAGAACCCTGAGGAACTCCAGTAATAAGAGGACAAGGTTCCGACACAGATCCTCGCCAGGTTACCCGGTAGGTGCGACCATCGAGGTAGGACGAGAGAAGGGAGAGAGCAGAGCCTGTGACACCAAGTTCCTGAAGGGAATGTGTCCTGGTGTCTTCTCCTGTGACTCCACCAGGAGTCATCAGTCATTCGCCATGATCCTGCACATTGATCAGTGTTTCGGGGCTCAAGGCCTTTAGGGGGACACTGGGACTAACGTGTCCTCAAGTGTCTCCTTTCACGCGTCGCCTTTGTTCCTCCTCCTTTGGGATAATCCGCCGTCCCTCACTGGTTTCACCGGTTCCCGTCTGCGCCTGTTTGAACCGGCCGCGTTCTCTTTGTCTTCCTCCATGTTTGAGTTCCTTCATCAGGGCGGCTGGTTTGCTCAGAGATTCGCCCCCCGACGTTTCTCCGGTTTTAACTGTGGAAAACGTTGAAGAATGTCGCTATTCACTTTGAGACGCGGCCCGAAGAGAAGAAAATGCACTTAAAAATGACTCGCTAGTTAAATGTAGAAAAATGATTCAAAGGTCAAAACAGATGCTGTTGACTTTATTGAGACGAACTGGCTTTTTAATATTTCCCCTGTTTTTTCCTTTTAATTACGGTCTGTCAATATATATATATATATATATATATATATATATATATATATATATATATATATATATATATAGAGCAATAATCCTAAACTACTACTACTACATCCAATACTGCTGCTGCATTCATACTTAAATTATTACTACTACCATTATGTAGTATCATTTTAGTATTGATGCAGTACCAATACTACAACTGCTATAAAACTACTCCTACTACTACTACTCCTCCTCCTCCTCCTCCTCCTACTACTCCTACTACTCCTCCTCCTACTACTACTACTCCTCCTCCTCCTCCTCCTCCTCCTAGTACTACTACTACTCCTCCTCCTCCTCCTAGTACTACTACTACTCCTCCTCCTCCTCCTCCTCCTCCTAGTACTACTACTACTCCTCCTCCTCCTCCTCCTACTACTACTCCTCCTCCTCCTCCTAGTACTACTCCTCCTCCTCCTAGTACTACTACTACTCCTCCTCCTCCTCCTCCTCCTCCTCCTAGTACTACTACTACTCCTCCTCCTCCTCCTCCTCCTAATTTAAACATATTTCTGATGTTATTCATTTGGATACTTTATCTTTTCATTCTTAGCCCAGCTAGCTGAGCTAACGAGAAGTGGCACCTGTTAGCTAACTAACGTTAGCTACAACGACAGCGCTTGACAGTAAAAACTCTCCTCATGACTCAAAAAACATATAAAATGCAACCAGAGATCATAATCTTCTGCTTGTTTAATGTAATTTGTGATAACGATAAAGACATAAACATATGACGTATGTTACCTCAGGAGCATTATACATTTCTGGTGAAAGAAACATTTTCCGGTCGTTTTAAATACAATTTTAAATTAGTTAAGCCACGGACTTTTGCCTAAAAGTGATGTTGCACACAATATACAGACTTATATTTCTGAAGTGTTTTATTGTGCAAGTACAAGTTCAAAAAAGAAAAAAGAAGACACAAGACACTTGAACAAATGTTTAAAACCGTGTCTGCTGGTTCCTTAGAATTACAAGACAAATAATACAAGTTTAATGATATCAGTATGTGTAGAAAATGATCAAAAAAAGATTCCACAATTTTAATATGTTGATTTGTATAAAAAAAAAGAAAAAAAATGACTGCAGGTGACATTTTATTTTTCAAGGTTGTCACAAAGATTCAGTTTTGGGAATCGGTTCAAAACAGGACTGTTGCTCTAAAATGTTAAAGGAGAAAATGAAGTTCCGGCCTGATGTGATTCTTCCTTTATCTTAACATCTACGTAGATGATTCCATCTTCAGTGACACACTCGCCCACAGCTGCTGGTGTCACTCTGTTATGTTTCATCAAACAGAGGCCGACGGCGGCGATCAGGAGCAGACAAAGACTGCGCGCCACAACCATCGTTACCGGGAGCAACGGACGAACGGGATCTACTGAGAAACAACAATGAGATTAGAAAGAGTTTACAATAAGACTCAGTGATTCAAACTTTGATTTGGTGCCGTGTTTTTTTACGAGGCGGAATATTGTCGGAACGATATTTTTGCTTTATTGAGAAACACTTGTTTTAAATCTTTTTAAATTTAGGTCTCTTGTTGTCTACTTAGCTTATGAAATTCTGCAAATATTTAATCTTAGAGAGTAATTTAGAGACTAGTTTTACTTTAATTCGTCACTCTATATGTGCAAAACCAGAAACAGCAAAACCAATAAAATGACTTTTCTTTAATGTAAAAGCCAATAGAAATATAATACATCCTTTGTCCCCAACCTACCTTTTAATTCTTTTATTTCGTTTATTTCGAGATGCACGGTGACTTTCTTCACAGAAACCCCATCAGATCCGGACTCCTCCAGCAGGTAATCTCCAGAGTGGTTCCTTCCGGCTCTGCCGAGTGACACCGTTCCGTTGGCCAAGAGTTCAGGATCAGTCACGTATTCTTTATTTGGACTCACTATCTTATTTTTTGATATTTTAAAAATAATAACGTTGTTGTCCTTAATCAGCCTAATATTTGATGTGACATTTGATGTGTTTCCCAGATGAAAAATGAGCCGCTGTCCCGTCACTCCGAAGCACCGAGCTCCTGGTTCAGAAAAACTGCATTCAATGGAGCCTTTAGAAAAACAGTGAAATGCAGTAAATAACAGGTAAGAACAATTATAATTGGTTTATTTTTACATGTATGATATTTTGGCTACAATTGAATAAATATGTTATTCATTAGCAATTAAATGTTGTGTATACTCTGTAAAGAGTTACATGCACTCATATACTTTAACACTCAAATTCACCTTTTGCCAGAGATGTTGTTGCCAGAGCCGCAAAGATCCCGACGATTGCAATCATTTTTTATCTTTTTCTGTTAAAAGAATAAAATGTGCCATTTTATTCTTTAATAAAATAAAATGTGACATTTTATTCTTTTATGTATTGACACATAAATAAATGTTAAAATGAAAAACAAAATATGAATATAAGTTACAGACCGTTTCAGAGAATGGATAAAAGTATTTATCTTCTATCGTTTCCTCGCTGCCTTGAGAAGTTCCCTCTGACTGAAGGACACTTTGTGCTTATTGATGTGAGAGACAGTTGACGACTCGCTTTTTGTTTTGTCAACCACAACTCACTGAGCATTTTATAGCATATTATAATTAGTGCCGCAGAAAAAAATACTTATTTTTTCTAGAAACCACATTCAACGACCTTTTGCTCAGAGTGACTATTTCCAGAGAGGCCTTCATGCAGAGGTCATAAAAGGAAATGCTGTGCATAGTTAAACGTCTAACGACCTATTTAGCAAAGCTCTGCTTGAGAATAGTTCACTCTTTACGACTACAACGGTCTAATTTTTTTGTACCAAGATGGCCGCCGTGCACGGACTCTCTACACATCTAACCTTTTAGATACATCTATGGCGCTTCCCTTTAACCTCTCATAAGGCAGAAAAACACTTCTCGCGAGATCTCCTAGTGGAAGTCCTGAGATGTGTATGAAACCCAGGATCCCGGTCGCGCTGCACCCTGTTAAAAAAACTATCAGGACCAAGATATTTTTATATCAGACGCAATGAACACACAAGGCGTACTACTTGGGCTCGGAAATACCGAAGATCATTTTAGACCACTGAACATCTTCTCTAAGCTACACGGGACCCTGGAGCCCCTGAAGACGTCTCCGCTCGTCCCCGTGTGCTATAAGGTGTGGAGTGCGTGCTCGTGCCCGTGGTGGATTCACCTCACGTGACCCAGCGGCTCGCCGGAGGTCGGTGGGTCCCAATGGAGAAACGTTCAACATACTTAAAAGGCTCAGAGCGAACTGTGTTTTATTTATTTTATTTACTTCGGAACAGGGACACAAAAATAATAAAATGTCCAACAAAACCGGAGACAAAAGTGTTGAGAACTTCGGGAAAACGTAGTCCGGAGATCTTAATGTACAGCTTCTCCACGTCCAGCATGAACCACCCCAAAAACCAACAGCTGTGTTCTCCGGTGGAACTGTCCCTTTGATTAAGGAAAGCCCCAAACAAAGCACGGAGAAGGAAAGATGCCTCACGGCCTCTGAGGCCATAAATCACCCCAACAAGTGTCCACCTGCACTTGGGCCTCACATCTCCTGCAGGACTGCTGTCCCTTCTGTGCGTTACATTACACCAACATGCACATGCAGCGTTTTACAGTTTTATATGACATGTACATATAAAAATAAGAAAAACAAAGAACACCTGCACATATAAAGGCAGGGGCGTAACCCTGGTTTAGACATGGGGGGGTCCAAATGAATACCCTACCCCGTAATTTTTTTGTTGTTAAGTTCATTGCCTACAATTCTATATTTATAAATGAAAATTTGCACATTGCGAACATAGTTTCAAGGATTACATTGACCATATGAATTCACATCTAAAGCAATAGTGTAATTATGCCCCCTGCTGGTGGAGTTTTCTGCTCTTTTTAACCTTCCTCCAGTCAACTCACGTTACTTTATTTGCTCTCAACTGAATGACGAAAAAGTGAGGTAACCATGACAACGCAGTGACGCAAGTTGGTTTCAAACGAAATCACACAAGTGTACAAATTGGGAGGGGGGTTCACACACTTTCTTTTTTCTCAACAAACGGAAATGAATTGAAAATAAATAAGACATAAACAAGAGACCAATCCATCGACAGGGTTCATAAAAGGAGAACGTATATTTTACATATTTTCTGCTGTATATTGGGGGGGACACGACCCCCACAAGGAATGCGTGGTTACGTCCTTGTAGGTGTGACGTTGTACCTCTTATAATACAGGTTAAGCATAAATCTACAGAGCATATTTTATATGTACTCCATAATATGGCTGATTATCTTATCAAAAAGGATTTGGTCCTTAAAAGATTAAAACATAAGCACTTTGGATTTATGCCCCCCCCCTCCTAAACCCTTAATAGTTCTTTACATTATCAGTTTTGCAAATCATCCTGTCAACACATCAAACCAAGACAGAGACACACAGCGGCGATCAGGAGCAGACAAACACTGGGCGCCACAACCGTGGTAACCCCGGGCAACGGATGAACAGGATCTGCACAAGAAACAAACAGAGAAGCAACAATGAGATTAGAAAGGTTACGATAAGCGTTCACTGATTCAATGATTCTAATTTTGATTTGGTGGTTTTTTGTGCCCAGTTTCAGAGGCGGAAAACCGTCGGAACGATAATTTGCTTTATTGAGAAACACTCGTTTTAAATCTGCAGACATTTAGATTCTAAGCTTCTATAATTTTAAACGTATTGTTTATTTTACTTGTTTGTTTTCTACTGAGGTCTCTTGTTGTCTACTTAGCTTATGAAATCCTGCAATATTTCATCGTTGAGAGTAAAAAAGAACTATTCTACTTTCGATGATTTTTTTTTCTCTATGTACAAAACTAAAAAAACAAAACTATGAATAAAAA